GGGAAGGAGTGCGTTTCAAATCACTTAGCAACCAGCCCTAGCGCTTGCAGGGATCCTGATTATCTCGCTCGGCTCCACTGGGGCAGAAAGGAGGAGGTTCTGGAAAAAAATTCCCGAGAACTGGTAGGAAGCTGTGGAAACTCAGGAATACAGTAAATAGGATATGGAGCATGGAATTGTATCAGAAGAGGAGGCCTACCATCCTTGTCAATGGTGCACTGTAGACCTACAGAATATAAAAAAATTTCAATTATGGTATCTGAAAATAGTCTGAACTTGAAAATTGCAAATACCTACGCTGCTACTGTTCCAGATCCACGAGTCAGAGCTTGAAGCCATCGAGGACCGCGATGAAATTGTGTTCTCACCGGATGTCTTACGTGACATAGAAAAAGATCAAAGTAAGTGTATCGATTTCATTGATTTTCTGGTACAGCATAAATCCGTCGTGTTCAGTTGAGGCGTTCGAGCTGTTGGCATGTAGCCAAGCAATACCGAGACCTGGCAAGAATAAGGTGTGTTCGACAGGCACCTCCAAAAACATTCGGATTTGACCTTTAATTGTCATTTCAGGAATTAGCATTGCATTTACTGATGGAGAATAAAGGCAATATTGAAGCCGCAGTTGCGGATTTGTTACGCTCTGACACGTTAGACTGGGAGCAGTACCAAGTGATCTACGGTTCAAACTATGTTGACTCGGCTGGTTGGACACCTGAGGAAGTGAACGCATTCCAAGATGCTATCTATAAAACCGAGAAAGACTTTCATCAAGTTGCACAGGAGGTACGGTATCCTACAGTAGCGCACGGTATAATTTGATCGCGTTAAAATTCCAAGAGTCAGTTATTTTAGCTGCCGAGCAAGACGGTCCGCGAATGTGTCGAATTTTACTATACTTGGAAGAAAGCCTGCCCTGACGACTACCGTAAACTCAGGAACCTTCGACGAAAACGGCAATTATTGGAGTTAAATCTGCAACAGGTATGAGATGAAATTTCAATACATATAGCATTTTTATTTGAATTTGATGACCATCATACTATATACTAAAGTGCTTCCACCAATTAGGTTCTAACGCGAACGCTGCGTGCAAGAAGCACTACGCGGTGCCGCGCGCGTAGCACCATTTGCAACGCCGTTTTAGCCGCAGTCTCCTCTATCATGCCCTGGCACGAGCAGGATCTGAACGAATAGGGGGAAATGATCATGGAAAAGGAAATGAACCTTATCAGTTCGCATTTCCCACTCACTTAGCTTCACAAATTATTTGCATTTTTTCAACGTCGCATAGAGTTTTCTGTTTGCTCATTTCCGGCTGCTATTGGGAAAGGACATTTCAATTGCTGGCCGGAAGTTGTGTTCTCGGATAAATGGACAGCGTTCCTCTAATTATTGTCAGTTTTCGCGGGGAAACTATCTTTCGGTAGCATTAAATAACATTCAGTAAACGGAGTCATTTTCGCTGCGGAAGCTGAGGCGTGCCGGGGGGGGGGCGCCAACCCGTCCTACATCATTTGTTGAACTGACGAGCAATCGGCAATAACTGGTGAAAAACGGGCTCGCCCCACGCCAAACTCAGCCCTCCTAGCATGCCCTAGCGTCTGTAACGAAATGACTATAAGTAATCCTCACTGTACTTAGGTACGACCTCCTCTAATTAAACTGTTTCAGTTCCCTGGATTGTACTCTTAGGTGGGCAGAAATAATGGAAGGCCCAAAATTTATAACTTTCCATCAAGGTGATGAGGCTTCCGCCTTCCTTTCCGGCGATGCGATCTACAGAAAGCCTCCTCAAGGTTTCATGAAGGATTGGAGTTCCCAATCAGTTACTGCTCACTGAGTTCATCAATAGAGGCGCTTTGCAGGCCCTAGACGCATGGCGGAGCCAGGCACACCATTCATTTGGTCTCGTTGGCTGCTTCCCCCTCGATCTGTCGGCCCAGGGTGAGGGGCATAATGAAATGGAAGTGACTTCAAATTTGTACGATTGTCGTGGACTGTGCTTTCGAACACCACAATGGACTGTCAACATCATTTGTGGAAGGGCTGCGAGAACGCGTTTGGCCGTACCCTATTCAGCCCTTCCTCCAGTGACGTTGGAAGCAGCTCCTGCCCCCAGCCACCATGCCCGCTACCTTTAATCTTTCGACCACCAGCAAGCTGTGCCCAATTTTTCCCTAAAAATGATGGGTTATTCCTGAGAAAACAGACGACGGGCATTCTCGTTTTCTTTCTTATGATGACTTTTTTGGCTTTGAATCCCATTGATGGCTTTTTTTCAGATGGACGAAGGAACACCGGCCAAGGTGGTTCCAGTCGACGAGAACGTCTCATCAGATGCGGAATCCGACACGACTGCACCGTCATACTGCGGCCAGGATATGTTCGAAATGAGAGGACGAACGGGCAGTTTGTGAGTTTCCTATCGATTTCCTCTATGTTTTCTGATGTCTACCTCTATTTCCTGCTCTTTTAGCCTTTCGCAAACGAATGCATCTATGTCACCGCTTAGGGACGTGCCATCATTACCATCGTCGTCGTCGATTTCGCAGTCATTACTTGGTCTGCGACCATCACCACCTCTCAAAGATCTGTCTGGACTGCAACGAAACTATCAACCGGTCAGTCACCATTAAATCCATTAATCATAATGTCGTTCGAATTTTATGGTTTATAGTCGGCGCCTCGTACGCAACCACCATCCGGCAGCAAGAAAGGAGCGCAACCGAGTGCTGACGGTTTCTTCCATTGTCGTCTGTGCGATAAGTGTTTCGAGAAGGTCAAGGTGGGTGATATTTTCAAGAGTTGTTCGTTTGGTGGGGGGGGGGGGCATTTTGCTATATCCCATCGATGTGGAGACGTGTAAACTCTTGTGAAGCTACGAAATGATTTTTACCATCGTTACCGCTTGAGTCACTTAGGGCGTGTCAGCGGGCTACTGGCGCCAGCCCTTTTTCCATCGATCACTGCAGCCTCTATAGTGTTCAGTGAGTGGTGAAAAAGGAGCTAGCGCCACGTCGAAATTCCCACGCTGCTGACACGCCCCGACTGACTTCAGTGGTAACGACTGTAGCGAAGCTTGGCAAACTTGTAGGGCTAATACAGTTGCATATAATGAAGCTTCCACCAGTTCTTGAGTTTGCAAGGGATTACAGACCTTACCAAGGTGAGAAAATAAGGAAACCAGCGAAGTAACAAAATGCTCCTCTCTAACCATGAGCCAAACAGGGTTGAATTTCGTTTCGCGTTTCTCCTTCACAGTGGAGTTCCCTTGAAAGCTTCTTTATCCTCCTCATTTCAGTCGCTGAACGCTCACATGAAGTCACATGCAATGAAAGCACGAGCAGAAGCTGAAGCGAAGGCTCAAGTGGACGCTCAACTAGCCGCGCAATCC